GAAATAGCAAGCTATAAGTTTAATATATGATGATTTGGATCACAGCTCTGTTTCACAAAAATAAAGAAAATGGTACTGTCAAGTCTGCACCACGAAATGGATGGCATGTTATTCTATAATGAGTAATTCTTTAATTTATCCGAAATTGTACTAAAAAAGTTATGATTTTCAGTGAATTTCTTCGTATATAAGGTTATCTATAAATAATAACGTATTCAATAAGAATAAAAAGTAATTATCCGTATTTCGTTAAAGAGGAATACAAGAAGTATGATATTTCAACAAATAAGCCATACTAATTATCAATATTTTAAATCCCTGTCATGTATTTGGTCTATTTCATGAACACTGAAATAGGCATGAAGACTGAAATAGGCATTAATTAGTCTAGCCGTCCCGCAAGACTGTCCTAGCCGTCCCCCGGCTAGTGTTTGTGCGGCCCGCAACATATGTTTTTAATCTACTACAATTGTGCAAATTTTCTCTTGGTGTACTGGTAAAACCACATTATTTTACTTTAATGGTATACCAAATAAATGAATTTAAATAGATAAATTTAAAATTGTCGGAAACAACTATGAACGTATGTATTTGTTTCTGCAGACCTCCAATCTGTGGACCTCCAATCAGTCTCCGATCGCATCTGGTCTGGACAGCCCTGGTCTAAAGAATCAAATTTGAATAATTTTCACAAATATATTAATAATTGACTTGACTATGTGCTAAAGAAAATTAAGATCTTTTGAAAAAATAAATTTAAGCTCCACAATATATGAGTTCCTCGTTTATATAAGAAGTTAAGAATATGATCAAAATCTGTTAAAAGGAAGTAGACACATTTTAAAGAAAAATTTGGTTTTACACAAAGAGTGAAAAGTAATGTTACAAGATAAACATATTTAAATGCAATATTGTTCAAAGGTTTATTTGAAAGAGTTGTGTTAAGCAAACTAACGAAACGATCCGAATATCTGCGGATGAAACATCTGCAGAAGAGACATTCAGTTTAGATGATTAAAGAAAAAAATTTCTCAATTTTTGTACAAACAAATATGTCTGTAGAAAACTATCGAGTTTGCTAATATGTCTTAGGAGGTTTCAAAAGTCAGTAGGCACTATCGACGACCAATTCCTTTTGCAGTATGGT